GGGATACCGGATAGACGCCGATCGTCCCTTTCTCGGAAACTTTGACCGGAAGGGTAATCAGCCGCGTGATTCCCGCCGAATCGCGCATCACGCCCAGTGTGACCGTGTCGGATGCGTACGTCTCGAAAGCCTGGCGGTACTGGTCGAAGTAGCGCATCGATTCGCCGTTGAACGACACCAGCGTGTCCCCGGCGAGCAGTCCGGCCTGGGCGCGGGACCGCCGGCGACCGTCTCTCCGACCACGAACGGGATCCGTACCGTCGCGAAATCGGGCGATTTGCAACTGGGCGATCGCTTCTTCCGGAATGTCGATCCGGACGCGCTGTCCGTCGCGGTCGACCGTGACGGTTTTCGCCTGGTCGATCACGATCGTCTGCCAGATCGCTCCGGCGTCTTCGACCGCTTCGCCGTCGATGTCGACGATCTTATCGCCGTTGCGGAAACCCTTTCCCGGGCCAGATCGTTGTAGACGTAGCCGTATTTGACGTCCTTGTTGTCGAGGTAGGTCTTTTCCCCACGTATAGCTCATCCCGATGTAGATGAATACGGCGAGCAGGATATTCATCAGCACGCCGCCGACCATGATCAGCAATCGTTGCCAGGCCGGTTTCGCCCGGAACTCGTACGGTTGGACGGGCTGTTTCATCTGGTCGGTGTCCATCGACTCGTCGATCATCCCCGGCGATTTTCACGTAGCCGCCGAACGGAATCCAGCCGATACCGTATTCGTGCCTCCCTTTTTGAACTTGAAAAGCGAGAACCACGGGTTGAAAAACAGGTAGAATTTTTCGACGCGCGTTTTGAATAGCCGCGCGAACAGAAATGCCCGAATTCGTGGATGATGACCAGCAGCGAGAAACTGAGTATGAATTGCAGAATTTTAATCAGAATGTCCATGTTTTATCGTACTAACGTGAGTATTTGAAATCGTTTTACAGCATCGATAGGGCGGTTTGCCGCGCTTCGCGATCGGTGCGGCGGTATTCTTCCAGCGAAACGCATTCGCGCAGCGTCGTCCGGCCGAGCGTCTCTTCGTTGATCCGGGGCGATGTCGGTGAAGCGGATTTTCCGGTCGAGGAATGCCGCTAACGGCCACTTCGTTCGCTGCGTTCAGCACGGCTCCGGCATTGCCGCCGCGCCGCAGGCATTCGAACGCCAGCGCGAGATTCGGGAAGCGCATCGGTCGGGTTCGAAAATTCGAGGCATCCCAACTTACAGAAGTCGATCCGCGGGCCTTGCAGCGGCAACCGCTGCGGAAAGGTCAGCGCGTACTGGATCGGAAGTGCATGTCCGGCGTGCCGATTTGCGCCTTGACGGCTCCGTCGCCGAACTGTACCATCGAGTGGATTACCGAGCGCGGGGTGGATGACCACGTCGATCTGTTCGGGCGCGCAGTCCGAACAGCCAGCGCGCTTCGATCACCTCGAAACCCTTGTTCATCAGCGAGGCGGAGTCGATCGTGACTTTCGCGCCCATGCACCAGCTCGGGTGGTTCAACGCCTCTTCGACGCTGACCCGTTCGAGTTCTTCGGCCGGGCGGTGCAGGAACGGCCGCCGGATGCGGTCAGGATCACCTTTTCGACCGCCGAATGTTCGCCGGTCATGCATTGGAAAAATGGCCGAATGTTCCGAGTCGACCGGAATGATCGGAGCCCGGTGTTCGGCGGACAGCCTGGTGACGATCTCTCCGGCCACGACCAGGCACTCCTTGTTGGCCAGCGCGACTTTTTTGCCGTGTTTCAGCGCGCTGACCGTCGGGAACAGCCCGCTGTAACCGACCAGGCCATGACGACCGTGTCGACCTGTTCCGAGCAGACGACCTGTTCGAGCGCATCGCTGCCCGCGTATACTTTGACCGGATGGTCCGCCAACGCGTCTCGCACGGCGGTATAATGAGTTTTGTCGGCGATCACCACGTTGTCGGGGTGAATTCGACGGCCTGTTCGACCAACTTTTTCCAGTTGCTGTGGGCCGACAGCGTCGTTATTTCGAACCGGTCGCCGTATCGCCTGACGATATCGAGCGTTTGGGTTCCGATCGAACCGGTCGAGCCGAGAACGGCTAATCGCTGTTTGCTTTGTGTCATTTCGTTAAAGGGAAAACCGTGTCGGGTTTTCCGTCGTCTTCATTTAAAATAGTTTAAAAACGATGTATCCTTCCGGATCGATCGGCGTTCCGTTATGCCACAGTTCGAACTCGAACAGGTTCTGTCCGCCGCCTGCGGATTTTTCGCCGCCGGTGTAACCGACGATCTCGCCGCTCGATACGCGTTCCCCCGCCTTTTTCAGTACGCTGGTGTTATGCCGTAAACCGATAGCATATTGCCTCCGTGCTGGATGAACAGCACGAAGCCGTCTTCGGGCGTCCACGACGACGAGACGACCGTTCCGTCCATCACCGCCATCACCTGCTGGTTGCCTGCGGTGGCGAGCGTCGTTCCGTACCGGTTGTCGATCGGGCTGAATTTTTCGGTGACGACGCCTTTGACCGGCGTATAGAGTTCCATCGCGCTGCGCAGGTTCTTGCGCGCCGCGTCCGGATCGTTCAGACTATAAATGCCGCCCGGGTCTCCATCTGCCTGCGCAGCAGCGAGTCCTCGACGATGGTCGCCGCCGCGTCCGCGTTTTTTTCGACAGTGAGTCGGAACTTTGCACGTTATTTCGTGTGACGGGATTTTTGCCCGCCATGATGAGCGCAATGTTATCGCTGTATATCTGCATGTTGCGCACTTCTTGTTCCAACGAGTCGAGCCGGATGATGTTTTCGATCAACATCGTCCGCGACTTGTTGCCCGGATAACCGGGAATCAGGTCCAGCACCGGCGTGTAGGCCACGGTGATCGTGATGACGATAAACAGGATCAGCACCAGCGCCAGAAAGCGGCCAACAGGTTCAACGGGCTGATATACATATACCAAACCTCCGAATCGTTATGCTGATTCCGGATGCTGAGACGGTGCTTCTCGCGCAGGTTCCGTATGAAGTATGAAACGCTCGTTTTGAAGTTCATAGAACTTTTATGCATAATTCGACCTACAAGATAATAATTTCCCTCGGGTAATGACAGAACGGGGAAAATATGTCAAAGATTATTTGACAGACGGTTTTTTCGGAGGAATCGATTTTGAAAATAAGTTATAAAGTGTAAATTTGCGTAGCGTTTGGACGCGGATACCCGCTTTCCGTCCTGTTTTCCGATCCGGGGCGGCGGTATTTCCGATGCGGGACGATGCGTCCGCGGCCGAAACGAGATTTAAAAGACGACAAAAACATGGTAAAACCTACACTTTTGGTATTGGCTGCGGGAATGGGATCCCGGTACGGTTCGTTGAAACAGATGGACGGCGTGGGCCGGGCGGAGAGGCCATTATCGACTATTCGATCTACGATGCCATCCGCGCCGGATTCGCCGCGTGGTTTTCGTGATCCGTCACCTGTTCGAAAAGGAGTTCCGGGAGATGTTCACGCCGGAACGTTTCGGGGGTAAGATCGAGATCGATTTCGTTTTTCAGGAACTGGATAAATTGCCGGCCGGGTTTACGGTGCCCGCCGACCGCGTAAAGCCGTGGGGGACGAACCATGCGGTGATGATGGCCGCCGATACGATCCGCGAGGAGCCTTTCGCCGTGATCAACGCCGACGACTTTTTACGGGGCGGAAGCTTATAGACCATCGCGGATTACCTACGCAGCGTGGCCGCGCAGCGCAACCATTACTGCATGGTCGGTTACGAACTGAAAACACGCTGTCCGATTATGGGTCCGTATCGCGCGGCATCTGCAGCGTCGATAGCAACGGCAACCTGACCTCGATGGTCGAGCGGACGAAGATCGAGCGCCGCGAAGACAAGATCGTTTACGAGGACGAAAAGGGCAATGTGTTCCCGCTGGCCGGGATACGCTGGTATCGATGAACATGTTCGGTTTTACGCCCGATTATTTCAAATATTCCGAAGATTTTTTCAGCGCCTACCTGAAAGACAATATCGGGAATCCGAAATCCGAATTTTACATTCCGACGATGGTCAATAAATTGGTTGCCGACGGAAAGGCTCAGTTGCGGGTGCTGCACAGCGCGGCCCAGTGGTTCGGCGTAACCTACAAGGAAGACCGCCCGGCCGTCGTCGAACGGATCCGCAAGTTGATCGCCGCCGGGGTTTATCCCGACAACTCTGGGCATAGTCCCGCAAAAGCGCTCGAAACGATGGAAATAGAACAGAATATCTGGGGTTTTACCGCCGAAGGCGAAGCGATCGTCCTTTACAAGATGACCAATGCGGGCGGCGCATCCGTGAAGTTGACCAATATCGGCGCGACGGTCGTATCGGTGGAGGTTCCCGACCGGGACGGCCGGCTCGCGAACGTGGCCCTCGGTTACGACGATTTCAAAAGTTATTTCGGCGACGGGCCGTGCATGGGGAAAACGGTCGGCCGGTTCGCCAACCGGATCCGGGGAGCGAAATTTACGTTGGACGGTGTGGAATACCGATTGTCGCGAACTGCTCCGAAGGGCGGCACCATACGCACGGCGGCGGCATCAACGGCTTTGCGAACAAAATTTGGGAGAGCCGCGTGGAGACCGACCGGGTCGTTTTCTCGCTGTTCAGTCCCGACGGCGACCAGGGGTATCCGGGCGACCTGAACGCCGAGGTCGTTTACGACTGGAGCGACGATTGCGAGCTGGAGATTACCTATTACGCCAAGACGACCGCTCCTACTATTATCAACCTTACGAATCACTCCTATTTCAACCTCAAAGGCGAGGACCGACCGGGCGCGATGGATCAGTTGCTTCAGATCAACGGATCGAAATACCTGCGTTACGACGCCGACTGCGTCTGTACCGGCGAGCTGGTCGACGTGAAAGGCACGCCGATGGATTTCAGCGAACCGAAAGCGCTGTCCGCGGAGATCGACGCCGATTACGAACCGCTGCGTTTCGGTTCCGGTTACGACCAGAGCTGGGCGATCGACGGGTATGAAAAGGGAAAACTTTCCGAAGCGGGCGTGCTGTACGACCCGCAGAGCGGACGGCGGATGCGGATCCGGACGACCCAGCCGTCGATCCATATCTATGCCGGAAACTATCTGGAAGGCTGTCCGCAAAGTATCAGCGGCCATCCGTACGGGCGCCGCGCCGGCGTGGCGATCGAGTGCCAGGCCTATCCGAACAGTCCGAACTGCCCCGGCTTTCCGTCGACCGTATTGCGTCCCGGGGAGATCTATAACGAGAAAATCGTCTTCCGTTTCGAAACGGATGCGAATTAATCCGCAGAGCCAATTATTAACCTAAAATAGATAAGGATGGAATCAACTAAACAAAAGAGTTACGCATTGCCGATAGCGATGATGTTCGCGCTCTTCTTCATGATCGCGTTCGTTACGGGGCTTCAGAACCCGATGGGCATTATCGTGAAGGAACAGTTCCAGGTACCGAACTGGATGTCGCAGTTGGGAAACTTCGCCAACTTCATCGCTTACGCCTGCATGGGTATTCCGGCGGGTATCATGCTGCAACGCATCGGTTATAAGAAGACGGCTCTTACGGCCATTGTCGTCGGTTTCGTCGGCGTAGGGATTTCTTTCCTGTCCGGACAGGTCGAAAGTTTTACCGTCTATCTGATCGGCGCTTTCGTATCCGTTTTTCGATGTGTATGCTGAACGCCGTGGTAAACCCGATGCTCAATACGCTCGGGGGCGGAGGTAATCGCGGGAACCAGCTGGTGCAGTTCGGCGGTTCGTGCAACTCGATCGGCGCTACGATCGTACCGGTGCTGGTCGGCTACCTGATGGGCGACGTATACAGCGCCTCGATCAGCAAGGCCAACCCGGCGCTTTTCCTGGCGATGGGAATTTTCGCGCTGGCGTTTATCGTACTTTCGTTCGTGAAGATTCCGGAACCGCATCTGGTGACCGCGAAAAAGGAAAAAGAGAAACACAGTCCGTTTTCGTTCCGCCATTTCGTTCTCGGAACGCTGGCGATTTTCTTTTACGTGGGCGTCGAAGTAGGGATCGCCAACTTTGCGAACCTGTTTATGACGCAGAGCGTCGATAAGGGCGGTCTCGCTATCGATACGACGGTCGCCGGGACGATCGCCGGAACCTACTGGTTCCTGATGCTGATCGGCGTTTGACCGGCGCGTCGCTGGGTGCGAAATTTTCCAGCAAATCCATGCTGACGTTCGTTTCTTCGCTGGGCATCCTGCTGATCCTGCTGGCGATCTTCCTGCCGCGTCGACGACGGTCAACATGCCGGTGTTCAAATCCGATATCTCATTCGGTCTGGCTGAAGTGCCGATCGGTATCATGTTGATGATCCTTTGCGGGTTGTGCACCTCGGTGATGTGGGGTAATATTTTCAACCTGGCCGTCGAGGGGCTGGGTAAATATACGGCCGCCGCGTCCGGCATTTTCATGGTGATGGTATGCGGCGGTGGTGTTCTGCCGTTGATCCAGGGCGCCGTTGCAGACGGTTTCGGTTACCTGGCCAGTTTCTGGTGATTATCGTCGCTCTGGCTACATCCTGTATTACGCCCAAGTCGGTTCCAAAAACGTGAACAAGGACATTCCGGTCGAATAATTCCGCTGTCCGGAGATATTTAAAAAAAGTAAAATCGGGAGGGCGGCCATAGCCGCCCTCCGCTATTTTCGAGAACGATGAGAAAATTATTTTTTATAAGTATCGTGGCGGCCGCTCTGGTTTTTTTGGTCGGAAAGGTCGTCCGCACAGGCGGTCGAGAGCGACCAGTGGGCCGCGACGGACGGTCTCGGCCGCGCTTTGCCCGGGCGGGAACAGACCCGCGCCCGCAGAGACGACCGCAAAGTGGCGATGTTTTACTGGACGTGGCACACCAGTCCGATTACCGACTACCGGCGGATCGGCAACATTACGCAGATTCTCCGCGAACATCCCGAGGCGATCGACGATTACGACCACCCCGCCTGGGATATCGGCGGAAATTCTTATTTCTGGACGAGCCGCTGCTGGGGTATTACAAGACGACCGACCCGTGGGTGCTGCGCAAACATGCCGAATGCTGGCCGATGCCGGTGTGGACGTCGTGTTTTTCGACTGTACGAACGCTTCCCTTACCTGGAAATCTTCGTACGACGTATTGATCGACGTCTGGACGAAGGCGCAGGGGACGGCGTGAATGTGCCGAAGATTGCGTTCATGCTGCCGTTCGGGCCTGTGGATTGGTCGCTCGTTTCGCTGCGCCAGCTTTATGAGGATATTTACAAGCCGGGCCGGGCCGAAAACCTTTGGTTTTACCTGCACGGCAAACCCTGTATCATGGCTTATCCGGACAACCTGACCGATTCGCCCGAAGACCGGACGATCCGCGATTTTTTCACGTTCCGTCCCGGTCAACCCGACACGTGACGGCCCCGGGCGTCCCGACCAGTGGGGTTGGCTCGAAACCTATCCGCGCATAAGTTTGTCGAACGTCCGGACGGCGGCTGCGAAGAGATGGTGGTCTGCGTGGCGCAAAATGCGAACGATGCCAGCGGCGGCCACTGCTGTGCTTTCAATGCGCCGGGAACTTACGGGCGCAGTTATACCCAACAGCGCGGGCAGGATACCCGCGAGGATGCTTACCTGTACGGATTGAATATCCAGGAGCAGTGGGATTATGCGCTGCAGTGCGATCCCGACCTGATTTTCGTTACCGGCTGGAACGAATTCATCGCCGGGAAGCACATCGGCTGGCATCCCGCCCGCCCTATTATCCGTTTGCATCCCCGATCAGTTCGACTGGGAACGCAGCCGCGATATCGAACCGGTCAAGGCGTGGGGCGATAAGGGCGATGCCTATTACATCCAGTTGGTCGACAATATCCGCCGTTACAAGGGCGTTTCGGAGTCCGCAGGCGGTGTCGCAGCCCCGGAGCTTCCGGATCGGCCGTTTCGACGGTTGGGACGGCGTATCGCCCGATTTCAGGCATTATCCGGGCAATACGATGCACCGGAATCACAAAGGTCATGCGAACATGTTTTTATACCAATACGACCGGGCGCAACGACATCGTGGACGCGAAGTGGCCCGCGATCGCAGGTACGTTTATTTTTACGTCGAAACCGCCGATAAGCTGACCCCGTCGACCGACCGCAACTGGATGATGCTGTTCATTGACGTCGACCGTGACAAAGCGACCGGATGGGAGGGGTACGATTTCGTGCTGAACTACGAAAAGCCGCAGGACGGCAAATCCGTATTGTCCCGCCATAGCGGCGACGGCTGGAATTGGGAGCGCGCGCGGAGGCGGATTATGCCGTCGACGGCAACCGGATGGAGATTCGGATACCGCGTTCGTTGCTCGGTGAGTTCGGAAAGTCGCTGAACATCGAATTCAAATGGAGCGACAACATGCAGGAAGAGGGGAATATCATGGATTTTTACGTGAACGGCGATGCGGCCCCGGCGGCCGTTTCAATTTTGTTTACGACGAGCGTGCCGGGCAGAATCGCTAACGGTTTTCGTAAAGCGTGTTCCATTAAAAAATCGGGTCGGACTTCAGTCCGACCCGGTTTTTAATTCCGGAAACGATTATCCGGCAGTGTTCCGTCTATTTTTCGTAGGTAACGCTCTCGATAACGACGGGGCCCATCAAACCTGCCTTTTGCAGCGGGGAATCCGCTGTCCACGGGCTGCACGGCGTCCATGTCGTGCGTTGTGCTTCGGGCAGTTTTTGGTCGCCGATCAGGCGATTCCCCCAAGTGTTTACCACTTCGATTTCCAGTTCGTTGTCGCCTTCTTTGACAAAGTCGTGATGTCCAGTTCATACGGAGCCGTCCATACGCCGCCGGCATCCTGTCCGTTGACCTTCACGCGGGCCATGGCCACGAAGTCGTTCAGGTTGATCAGGATGTTCTCGTCGGTCGGGGCTTTGTCCAGTTTGAAGTTGGTCTTATAGGTGGCCGTACCGGAGTAATATTTGATCTTGTCGTCGGCGTTGGTCGACCAGTCGGTCAGCGATTCGAATACGACCGGTTCTTGCGGGCCGCGTACCTTGTCGGCGAAATCGACCGTCCACGGGCCTTTCAGATCGGCGATCTGGGCCGGAACCGGGAAGTTGGCTGCCACGTCGGTCGACGAAGCGGCACCCGCTTTGTCCTTGAACACGATGAACATGCTTTCGTACGGAGCCATTTCGAGCGAACGGCCGTAGCGCCCTGTTTCTGCTCGTAAGCGGGCAGTTTGCGTATCACGCCGGTGGTCGGGGCCCACAGTTCGGGCTGCATACCGGTTACGCGGAATTCCGGCGTAACGACGATCGTTTCGTCGCTCTGGTTGCTTACGAAATAATTTCGGCATTGTCCAGCGTGCGGTGTCCGTAGTGTACCGGCGCGCCTTCCGGAATGTTGAGGTCGGGGATGCAGTCGATCGTGGCGAAGGCTTCTTCCATCGTCATGCCGTTTAGGATCATGCCTTTGCCCAGTTTGCGCGATTTGACGTTCACGCCGTCCACGTCGCCCCAATTTCGGCGGCCATCGCTTTCACCTGCTGGTCGGCGGCCGGCTGATTCTGCAGGCTCGGCGAGCGGCTTGGGGCCGGGCCCATCACGACGGCGCCTTTCTCGATCAGTTCTTTGATCTTGGCCAGCAGTTCCGGACGCATCGTTTCGAGTTTCGGCAGCACCAGGATGCGGTATTGCGTACCGTGCGGCAACGTGATCTTACCGTCTTTCACGTCCATGTACTTTTCGATCACTTCGGCGTTCATGTAATCGAACTGGTAGCCGGTCGGAAGGCCGGGTCGACGATACCGGTCATCTTCGGAGCGTCTTCGCCGTGAAATAGGCTGCGTCGGCTACGTTCAGACCCTGTTGCAGCATGAAGTTCGCGCGCTTGAGGTACGTGAGGTAGTTGTCGATCTGCGAGAACAGTGTTGTGGCGGTTGAATTCGTTGCCGAACCAGGCGTTGACGCCCGGGAGCCGGTCGTCCGGCTGCGTGATGTAGACGTGCAGCAGCGTGTTGTTGATGCCTTCGGCGAAGAAACGGTCGCCGCGCTGTTTGATCACGCCGGGTAACGGGCGTACGAATTGCCGGCGCAGGTGTTCGATTCGGCCGAGATTTTCGTCTTGCCGTAGATATGGCCGCAGGACGAAGCGGCGCGGTTTTCGATGTCGCCCAGTTCGCCTTCGCTCCAGAACTCGCCGCCGATCTCGTCGGACTGGCCGCCGTACATCAGGAATTCGCCGGGAAGCCCCTGACCGTAGTTTTCGAGCCAGGTATGCAGCCCGTGTTGATGGCTGACGTCGCGCA